GACTCTGTTTACATCAGGTGTCACCAATAGAGTCCCCCTTTACATCAGGTTTGCATGTTCACCCTGTGCCTGCGTGGGTTTCCTCCGGGCACTCCAGGTTTCCTCTGACGCTCCAAAGACATGCTGGTAGGTGAATTGGCTCCTGTCTAAATTGTCCCTAGTATATGTATGTATGAATGTGAGTTAGGGACCTTAGATTGTACGCTCCTTGGGGGCGGGGACTGATGTGAATGTACAATATATATGTAAAGCGCTGTGTAAACTGACGGCGCTATATAAGTACCTGAAATAAATAAATAACAAATCTAACTAAACAAAATTATTTAAGTAATGAATCGAAGCAAAATAATTTTTTTTGTTCTGCACATGTCTACGAGGAACCCCTAGCAACCTCTGGAGGAACCCGAGGGTGTCATGGAACTCTGGCTGAGAATGTCCTTTCTAGGGGCTCTATACACAAACAGCCTACAGAATATTTGCCCTTGTTGTGGGACCTCAAAGCTGAAATGGAAAGGCCATGTTTCAGAACATTACATTGCACGTGACTTTTCGGCCAATTATATACAGTGGGGCAAAAAAGTATTTAGTCACCACCAATTGTGCAAGTTCTCCCACTTACAAAGATGAGAGAGGCCTGTAATTGGCATCATAGGGAGACTCAACTATGAGAGACAAAATGAGAAAACAAATCCAGACAATCACATTGGCTGATCTGGAAAGAATTTATTTGCAAATTATGGTGGAAAATAAGTATTTGGTGAATATGAAAAGTTCATCTCAATACTTTGTTATATATCCTTTGTTGGCAATGACAGAGGTCAGACGTTTCCTGGAAGTCCTCACAAGGTTGGCACACACTGTTGCTGGTATGTTGGTCCATCCTCCATGCAGATCTCCTCTAGAGCAGTGATGTTTTGGGGCTGTCGCTGGGCAACACGGACTTACAACTCCTCCAAAGGTTTTCTATGGGGTTGAGATCTGGAGACTGGCTAGGCCACTCCAGGACCTTGAAATGCTTCTTACGAAGCCACTCCTTCATTGCCCGGGTGGTATGTTTGGGATCATTGTCATGTTGGAAGACCCAGCCACGTTTCATCTTCAATGCCCTTGCTGATGGAAGGAGGTTTGCACTCAAAATCTCACGATACATGGCCCCATTCATTCTGTCCTGTACATGGATCAGTCGTCCTGGTCCCTTTGTGGAGAAACAGCCCCAAAGCATGATGTTGCCACCCCCATGCTTCACAGTAGGTATGGTGTTCTTTGAATGCAACTCAGCATTCTCTCTCCTCCAAACATGACAAGTTATGTTTCTACCAAACAGTTCTATTTTGGTTTCATCTGACCATATGACATTCTCCCGATCCTCTTCTGGATCATCCAAATGCTCTCTAGCAAACTTCAGACGGGCCCCGGACATGTACTGGCTTAAGCAGGGGGACACGTCTGGCACTGCAGGATCTGAGTCCCTGGCGGCGTAGTGTGTTACTGATAGTAGCCTTTGTTACGTTGGTCCCAGCTCTCTGCAGGTCATTCACTAGGTCCCCCCATGTGGTCCTTGGATTTTTGCTCACCGTTCTTGTGATCATTTTGACCCCACGGGGTGAGATCTTGCGTGGAGCCCCAGATGGAGGGAGATTATCAGTGGTCTTGTATGTCTTCCATTTTCTAATTTTTGCTCCCACAGTTGATTTGTTCATACCAAGATGCTTGCCTATTGCAGATTCAGTCTTCCCAGCCTGGTGCAGGTCTACAATTTTTTCTGGTGTCCTTCGACACCTCTTTGGTCTTCACCATAGTGGAGTTTGGAGTGTGACTGTTTGAGGTTGTGGACAGGTGTCTTTTATACTGATAACAAGTTCAAACAGGTGCCATTGATACAGGTAATGAGTGCAGGACAGAGGAGCCTCTTAAAGAAGAAGGAACAGGTCTGTGAGAGCCAGAAATCTTGCTTGTTTGTAGGTGACCAAATACTTATTTTCCACCATAATTTGCAAATAAATTCTTTCCAGATCAGCCAATGTGATTGTCTGGATTTGTTTTCTCATTTTGTCTCTCATAGTTGAGGTCTCCCTATGATGCCAATTACAGGCCTCTCTCATCTTTTAAGTGGGAGAACTTGTACAATTGGTGGCTGACTAAATACTTTTTTGCCCCACTGTATGTTATATCCATTTTTTGGCGTTTTCTGTCAATGCTTTGCCCTTGTTAGCTCTGATCCTGGTTGATGCATCCTGCTCTGATTCATGTCCAACATCCGATGATTCAGACTTTTTTTGTTTTTAATACCATCAGTTCCAAATGGATTATTGACCATGACAAAGGTACTTATCACCAGTTTCTATGAGTCAGGACAGATAGTTCTGCTCAGAATGCATTCCAAATTAACCTCTCCCAAATTCCCCTCCCCCCTCCGCACCCGCCATGTTGGAAATTTCTTGGTGCTCCTGTGTAGTGTTTCCACCGATGAATGGCTGTCACACTGCACCTACCATCTCTTTACAAACTCTAGCGAGCAATTGTTATTGAGTCCATGGGGGCTTAGGAGTTAATACTCCCCCCGGGACATTCAATGGGCAATATTTGGCTTTCTTCAGCTGGCATCACAAAGGATGGGCATGGGTGGGTGCCGCCCTCAGTTGGTACTTGTACAGATCAATGAGTGTTTGGTTTAGGATTTTGCTGCGGGCAATTTGGCAAAGATGCAGAAAGCTGCGATAGCATTTTATATCCCTTCTGATGAAAGTCACGGAATGCCGAGCGGTTTGATGAACATATTCTTTATTTATTTGTGATGGGCAACATGTGGAGTCGCAAAAAAAAAAAAGACCACACTGTGACCGCAACCAAAAAGTGAAGAGCCGACCAATCACTAACTTGTATTAGCCCCAAACTATAAGGTGTCTGTAAGAGCAAGAGTGCAATCTACATCCACTAACAGGACTGTGCAGAGAACACTGAGCCATTCACGTCAGTCTCTGAACCACAGGAGCTTACACTCTAATCTCCCCCCACAGTCACACTATTATTATTATTATTGTACATTTATATAACTCTGACATATACCGCAGCGCTGTACAGAAATCACTGAGCCAGTCACATCAGTCTCTGTACTAGAGGAGCTTACACTCTAATGTCCCCTCCCCCACAGTCACATCAGTCTCTCTACCAGAGGAGCTTACACTCTAATGTCCCCTCCCCCCACAGTCACATCAGTCTCTGTACCAGAGGAGCTTACACTCTAATGTCCCCTCCCCCCACAGTCACATCAGTCTCTCTGTACCAGAGGAGCTTACACTCTAATGTCCCCTCCCCCACAGTCACATCAGTCTCTGTACCAGAGGAGCTTACACTCTAATGTCCCCTCCCCCCACAGTCATATCAGTCTCTTTACCAGAGGAGCTTACACTCTAATGTCCCCTCCCCCCACAGTCACATCATTCTCTGTACCAGAGGAGCTAACACTCTGTACAGAACCCAGAGCCAGTCACATCAGTCTCTGTACCAGAGGAGCTTACACTCTAATGTCCCCTCCCCAGTCACATCAGTCTCTGTACCAGAGGAGCTTACACTCTAATGTCCCCTCCCCCACAGTCACATCTGTCTCTGTACCAGAGGAGCTTACACTCTAATGCCCCCTCCCCCACAGTCACATCAGTCTCTGTACCAGAGGAGCTTACACTCTAATGTCCCCTCCCCCACAGTCACATCAGTCTCTGTACCAGAGGAGCTTACACTCTAATGTCCCCTCCCCCACAGTCACATCAGTCTCCAGAGGAGCTAACACTCTAATGTCCCCTCCCAGTCACATCAGTCTCTGCACCAGAGGAGCTAACAATCTAACAGGGGCGGACTGACAAATCATGGGGCCCCCAGGCAATAGGGGATCATGGGGCCCCTGTGTCCTCACCCACACTCAAACCACAAACAAAAATCCTATGAAAGGTACCAAGGGCATCTCATGGGGCCCCTTATTGACCCCGGGCCCTCGAGGCAGTGCCTGAGTTTTCAAATGGTCAGTCCGCCCCTGCAATCTAATGTCCCAGCACGGTCACACACTATTACTAGTCATTTATATAGCTCTGACATATACCGCAGTGCTGTACAGAGAACACTTACCTAGTCACATCAGTCTCTGTACCAGAGGAGCTTACACTCTAATGTCCCCTCCCCCACGGTCACATCAGTCTCTGTACCAGAGGAGCTTACACTCAAATGTCCCCTCCCCCACAGTCACATCAGTCTCTGTACCAGAGGAGCTAACACTCTAATGTCCCCTCCCCCACAGTCACATCAGTCTCTGTACCAGAGGAGCTAACACTCTAATGTCCCCTCCCCCACAGTCACATCAGTCTCTGTACCAGAGGAGCTAACACTCTAATGTCCCCTCCCCACAGTCACATCAGTCTCTGTACCAGAGGAGCTAACACTCTAATGTCCCCACACCCACAGTCACATCAGTCTCTGTACCAGAGGAGCTACACTCTAATGTCCCCTCCCCCACAGTCACATCAGTCTCTGTACCAGAGGAGCTTACACTCTAATGTCCCCTCCCCCACAGTCACATCAGTCTCTGTACCAGAGGAGCTTACACTCTAATGTCCCCTCCCCCACAGTCACATCAGTCTCTGTACCAGAGGAGCTTACAATGTAATGTCCCAGCACGGTCACACCATATTACTATTCATTTACATAGCTCTGACATATACCGTAGTGCTGTACAGAGCCAGTCACATCAGTCTCTGCACCAGAGGAGCTTACACTCTAATGTCCCCGTCACAGTCAGACACTAATATTATTATACATTTCTATAGCTCTGACATGTTCTGTAGCAATGTACAGAGAACTCTGAATTTCCAGGTTTCTCTGTACTGTGTATTATTATTATACAGGATTTATAGCGCCGACAGTGTACGCAGCGCGGTACAACATGAGGGCAGACAGTACAATGACAATACAGATGAATACAGGAGGGATCCGAGGGCTGTATAGGAGTCTACCAGGGGCGGACTGACCATTTGGAAACTCGGGCACTGCCCGAGGGCCCAGGGTCAGTAGGGGGCCCCATGAGATGCCCCTGGTACCTTTTTCATAGGCTTTTTTGAGTTTGGGCAAGGACACGGGGGCCCCATGATCCCCTATTGCCCGGGGGCCCCATGAGTTGTCAGTCCTCCCCTGGAGTCTACAGACAGATTTTCTGTAATATCACAATATCCTTTGCAGTTTTTGGTTTTTAGGATTTTGTATATTTAGCTCCGGTGGTCTTTTTCTGGCCCGGCTGTGACCTCTTATTACTCGATCAGTTTATTGCTGGAGATTCATCAGCCCCGACTCATTAAATAAACACCTCGCAGTTCTCCGTCACCTGTCAGATTTCCTCATTGTGTCGGCGTGAAATCCTCTCCAACTGTCTGATCCTGAGTGTGATACGAGTCAATGACCGGCCTACGGAATGTGACGATTGTTTATGGAGCGGATATGAATGTGCGGAGATCTCGGGTTGACACCGCGCATCGCCGGAATATTTTTATCCTTTTCACTTCTTCATCATATTTCAGGAATTTGCAGAAAAAAATCTTGTGTAGGCCACATGGAAGAAAAATATATTTGAAATATATATATATGTACATATATATATATATATATATATATATACAGTGAAGGAAATAGGTATTTGATCCCCGGCTGATTTTGAATGTTCGCCCCTCACAAAGAAATGATCGGTCTAATAATCGAATGTTCGGTGTATTGTAACACTGAGAGACGGAATAGCAACAACAAATTCAGCAGAAATGCGTCTAACAAATGATGACTGATCTGCATGTTCATGAGGGAAGTAAGTATTTGATCCCCTTCACAAAACATGACTTAGTACTTGGTGGCAAATCCCTTCACAGAGGTCAGACGTTTCCTGGAGTTGGCCCCCAGGTTTGCACACATCTCAGGAGGGATTTTGGCCCACTCCTCTTGGCAGATCCTTTCTGAGTTATTAAGGTTTGGTGGCTGACGTTTGGCAATTCAAACTTTCAGCTCCCTCCACAGATTTTCAATCAGATTAAGGTCTGGAGACTGGCTAGGCCACTCCAGGACATTAATGTGCTTCTTCTTGAGCCACTCCTTTGTTGCCTTGGCCGTGTGTTTTGGGACATTGTCATGCTGGAACACCCATCCACCACCCATTTTCAATGCCCTTGGCTGAGGGAAGAAGGTTCTCACCCAAGCAGGAACGGACTGAACATTTGGAAACTCGGGCACTGCCCGAGGGCCCGGGGTCAGTAGGGGGCCCCATGAGATGCCCCTGGTACCTTTTTCATAGGCTTTTTTGAGTTTGGGCAAGGACACAGGGGCCCCATGATCCCCTATTGCCCTGGGGCCCCATGAGTTGTCAGTCCGCCCCTGCACCCAAGATTTGAGGGTACATTGCCCCGTCCATTGTCTCTGATGCGGTGCAGTTGTCATGTCCCCTTAGCAGAAAAACACCCCCAAAGCAGAATGTTTCCACCACCATGTTTCACAGTTGGGATGGTGTTCTTGGGGTCATAGGCAGCATTCCTCCTCCTCCAAACACGGCGAGTTGAGTTGATGCCAAAGAGCTGGATTTTGGTCTCCTCTGACCACAACACGTCCCACCAGTCCTCCTCTACATCATTCAGATGTTCAGTGGCAAACTTCAGACGGGCCTGGACATGTGCTTTCTTGAACAGAGGGACCTTGCGGGCACTGCAGGATTTCAGTCCTTGTCGGCGTAGTGTGTTACCAATTGTTCTCTTGGTGACTGTGGTCCCAGCTGCCTGGAGATCATTGACAAGATCCTCACGTGTAGTTCTGGGAGATTCCTCACTGTTCTCATGATCATTGACACTCCACGAGGTGAGATCTTGCATGGTGCACCAGACCTAGGGAGACTGACACTTGTTTTGTGTTTCTTCCATGTGTGAATGATTGCACCAACTGTTGTCACCTTCTCACCAAGCTGCTTGGCCATAGTTTGGTAGCCCAGTCCAGCCTTGTGTAGGTCTACAATCTTGTCCCTGACATCCTTGGACAGCTCTTTGGTCTTTGCCATGGTGGAGAGTTTGGAATCTGATGGTTTGATGGCTCCTGTGGACAGGTGTCTTTTATACAGGTAACAAAATGAGATTAGCAGCACTCCCTTTAAGAGACTGCTTCTAATCTCAGCTTGTTACCTGTATGAAAGACACCTGGTAGCCAGAAATCTTGCTGAATGATAGGGGATCAAATACTTATTTCCCTCATGAACATGCAAATCAGTCATCATTTGTTAGAAATGCATTTCTTTTGAATTTTCTGTTGCTATTCTGTCTCTCAGTGTTACAAGGAAATGATCAGTCTAAAAATCGAATGGTAGGTGTATTGTGAGGAGCAAACATTCAAAATCAGCAGGGGATCAAATACTTATTTCCTTTACTGTATGTATATATATATATATATATATATATATATATATATATATATATAAATGCGTTTTTTATATATTGCAAAATATATGAAAAATATTTTTAAAAATATGTATATTTTTTAAATATATTCTTCAGATTTTTTTTCACACATAAAAAAAGTCATTTTAACATATATTTTCACATATATTTGTAAATGCATTCCAAAAATGTAGATTTGTATTTGTATCATTATATTATATATTATACTTTATAGTTATTGAAAGACCTCAGCATACAGGAATAATGTATAGTGTATTCAAATGATTGGGCTGCTGTGCCTGCGCAAATGTGGCACGCCGAACCGCCAAGATGCCCACTTGGAAGAAAAACATATTTCAAACATATTTTATAAATATTTTTCCCAAACTTATTGACATTTATTTGAAATACTACAATTTTGGCCGTATTCAATATATTTAAAAAAAATAAAATATATGAACATTCACAGCATACAGGAATAATGTATAATGTATTCAAATGAATGGGCTGCTGTGCCTGCGCAAATGTGGCACGCCGAACCGCGAAGCGCGAAGATGGCCACTTGGAAGAAAAATATACTTCAAACATATTTTAAAAATATTTTTCCGAAATATATTGACATATATTTGAAATACTACAATTTTGGCTGTGTTTAATATATTAAAAAAAAAAAAAAAAAAAAAAAATATACACATATATATATATATATATGAACATCCCGGAGCACGCATTAAATTTGGAAACCGAGGTATGCCTGTATATGTGATTTTGCACAGCCCAGCCCTGCAGCATTATTCTGCTATGAGGCGGTCTTTAAATGGTTGTTAACCTTTTTGCGCTGGCGTCTCTCGGCCCTTTAAGAGTTGCAGAAGCCGGGCGGGGTTTTTAGGGTCATGTGACTGCCATGTCACGGCGGACACATGATCGGAAAAGGTCCCGATCGCAAGGGGAGATTGGGACTTTTCTGTGAGTCACGGATATATGTGCTGGAAGCGTGCAGGGCGCGCGCACTCATCACATATGTATTTTCTAATGGCACGCAAATAGTGTTCACAATTGCAACTGAAGTCATATTATAATTGAATGTTATTAAAAAAATGATCTTTCATTTTCAATCTGCAGCTCTGTAATATTCTGTAAAAAGCAATATGGCAGCCTGGAAGCGTTCTGTACACAGATGGTTGTACAGAACGCCCCCCTGAAAATGTCGTTTCCTGCTTGTGTGATTGGCTCTCTGATTTTCCCACCAGTCTGCACTAAGATACAACTTAGATTTTGGCCATACCCTGCAGCAAAAATGTCATTTTGTCAAGTGGAAATCACAGCTAAAGGGATGCAGACCCTGCTACTTTCCTCATTAGAGCCCTCCAGGTGCAGCAGCTGATTGATCATTATAAAACCACCCCCCTCCCCCGCCCGTACAGATTCACTCTACACATGGACACGGACAAACAAACCGCTACTTCTTCAGAATAAAAAAAGGTAGGAATCTGCAACAAAGTTTGTTAAAATCCCTTCAATGTACAGAAATCACCCAGAGCGGAGGGGCTTTTTTTCAACAAAATTGGAGTTACTCTTTAACCTCCTTAGCGGTTTTCCCAAGTGTAGCTCGGGGTAAAATTTGAGTACCAAGAGCGGTAACCCCCCGAGCTACACTCGGGCTTACCATGCGGCGCTGCATAGGGAGTCCCTGCAGCACTTACCTTGTCCTTCGCTCCTGCGATGTGTCCCCTGCAGCGTCCCCGGCCATCTCCTCCGGCCGATGCCCGGCATCCGGCTTCCGTGTTCCGGTCCCTGTGACGTCGGGACGTACGGGCGCCGGAACCGACGGCAAATTTTAAATTTTTAAAAAATGCAATTTTTGCTGTCACTGCTGTTTCGTTGCATTTCACATACATTTTGTCCCGAGTGCTTTGTCCGGCGCCCTGCCTGCATTTTGACTGTTCTTTCTGTCTGGAAACTGAGCAACGTCCATGGCGTCCAAAAAGCGTCCCTTTAGGTCAAAAGCGGTTTTAGACGGCTAGAGAACAGCGATAGTAAATCAGAACCACTTGCAGAATTGAGTGATAATGATTGGTGGGGGAAATTCCTCATCAGACACTGAAAACGATTCTGCGACTTTGCTCAGCGATGTGTGAACTTGGCGCTATATTTCACATTTCAGTGTTTTTGGTTTGATTATATTATTGAATTAAATTTATTATTATTATATTATTATTTTTTATGATTATTTATTACATTATAATTTACGATTTCGTGTTTCAAGTTTTATCCTCCCCGAGATGTTTACTACTCTTGTTCGGACAGATTTCAGTGAGTTATTCCTAAAAATTACAGCCTACAATAAAAAAAACTACATATTTCCATGCAAAAAAATGTACCGCTTTCAGCACAAAAAATCGGAAAGAATCAGACCGCCGAGGAGGTTAAGGCCATAAACTTGAACAATGATTCATCTGAGCCACCAAAAAATGAAACAGGAAGCTGGTTCTACTTTACAAGGTACAGTAATGGAAGAAGCGTGCACCAGCCTAGTGCATTACCTGGGATAAAACTTTAATAGTACAAAGATAGATATATACTCACTAGTGACGGGCTGAACACCCTCCTTGTTCGGTTCGCAGTCGAACATCCGAACTTACAGAAGGTTCGACCGCGAACTTCGAACACGAACAATATACTGAGCGGTATCTTACAGCATCTGAGTATGTGGTGAGATCCCGCTCAGTGACTACAATCTGGCATGAGTTCTATTATGAAGTCATTTTTTTAGTTGAAAGACATTCATTGATGTTTCGGCTGTCAGTGGGGTTCCCCGCAGACAGCTGAATGTCAAAAGAATCGTGGGGCATTGCCCGACAATTAAAAAAAGTTTTAAAAAATGACGTGGGGTCCCTCCTCCTGTCCATACCAGGCCCTTCGGGTCTGGTATAGATCTTGAGGGGAACCCCCATGCCAAAATGTAAAAAAAAAATGTGGTGAGATCCCACTCAGTGACTACAATATGGCATGCAGTATTTTAGTAGCGAGACATTCATTCATGTTTTAGCTGTCAGTGGGGTTCCCCGCTGACAGCTGAATGTCAAAAGAATTGTCGTCATTTCAAAAATGACGGGGGGTTCCCCCTCCCGTCCATACCAAGCCCTTTGGGTCTGGTATGGATTTTGAGGGGAATCCCCATGCCAAAATAAAAAAAAATGGCATTGGGGTCCCCTCCAAAATCCATACCAGACCCTTACCCGAGCATGCAGCCCGGCAGGTCAGGAAAGGGGGGGGGTAGGGGGGGGGGCGGGCGCTCGCTCCTGAACCATACCAGGCCACATGCACTCCACTCAACAATGGGGGATGCTTTGGGGCGGAGGGCTCCCCATGACAAGGGCCTCTTCCCCACAACCGTGGCCTGTGGTTGTGGGGGTCTGCGGGGGGCACTTATTGGAATCTGGAAGCCCCCTTTAATAAGGGGCACCCAGATCCCCCCCCCCCATGCGAATGAGTATGCGATACATCGTACCGCTACCCATTCACAAAAAAAAGTGTGTAAAAAAAGACAGGAGACAGTCTTTCACAAGTCCCTTTTTAAAAATAAAAATAAAAAAAATGTCCCCCGAAGTAAATCCAACACCATCATCACGATGCCCGCCGCCGCTGCTACCCGAAAAAAAGCAAAAAAAAGCGCTCCGCTCACGACGCTGGCCCCCACCTTCTGAGAACTGCGCCCTCAATGACAGTTCTTAAATACTGTCATGACGTCACAAGGGAAGGGGTCAGGGCACTGTCAGGGTGCAGTGTATAGTGGGGCGCGGCGGGCGAACAGCCCGGTGAAACGCCCGTACCCAGAGACGTCCCTAGGGTTGGTGTCACCTGATGCGGTAACACATGGTGTCACCCCTCCAGAGAGGAAGGAGCCGGTGCCGGTGTAGTGGTAAAATGAGTATCCCGACCAGGGGCGGACTGACCATTTGGAAACTCGGGCACTGCCCGAGGGCCCAGGGTCAGTAGGGGGCCCTATGAGATGCCCCTGGTACCTTGG